GGGTTGGAATTTGTTTTCTTGCAAGACTTGCAGTACTTTGCTCCATGCTCTTCCTGACTTGATGGTTTGTGAAGAAAAATATGCTGTTATTCTGATGGGTTTTCCTTTAAATATGATGTTTCTTTTCTTTAGGGGCTTTTAGTATACTGTTCCCATGCTGAATTTCTGGAATCTTGATTATTTTGTGTCTGGGTGTGGTTTTCATTAGATTGATATTATTTGGAGTTCTATATGCTTCGGTCACAGGAATGTCAGATTGTTGCCCTATATTTGGGAAGTTTTCTGCTATTACTTCTGCCCATATTCTTTTTATATCATTTGTATTGATGCCTTCCTTCTCATTGATGCCTATTAGCCTCACATTGTTCATCTTTGCATCATCTTACAGGTATTGAATTACGTTTTCCTGCATCCTAGTTGTTTTTAAGAGATCTTTTCTTACTTTTTCACTAGCTGCAATGGTGTCTTTCAGGTCAGAAAGTCTATTTTCACTTTCACGCAAATGGTTTTGCCAGCTTGTGATTGAGGTTTTAATTTCCTGTATGTCACTTTGAACCTGTTTCTTAGATTCTATTTCTTTCCTAAATTGTTTATTCAGGAGTTCCATCATTTTTATATTCCTCTCTATTTTTTTAATCAGTGTATTCTTTAGAGGCACTTAGTACTTCTTTGATTAGAGTTACCACTACATTTTTTTGTTCCAAAATTATTTCTGATCTGATTTCTTCCATACCTTTCTGCAGTTGATTCTTTACTGTCAACGCTATTATTTCAGAGATATGTGGCGTGTGATTTCCAGTTTCCTCAGTGCTAGTGTCTTCTGCATTTGTACTGGGTGGACTCGGGGCCTGAGACTGCATTGTGTTCCTTCTCTTTGTCATTTTGTATACCACTGTCTTCTGACCTTTGGTGTAGAGCTTGGATAGAGTTATTACCTTAGCACCAGGTCCGGATATACGAAGTTCAGATTCTTGCAGGTGGGTGTTGTTTGCATCTGGCTGCTGTGCTCCACTTCTTTCTGCTGCAGCCATTAGAGTTGAACCCTTTGTGTGTCTCTGGCAAGATGTTCTGCTCCTGAATCAGCTGGGTGGGTCTTGCCTCTAGCCTCTTTGCAGGGAGTTCTGCTGAAGGGTTCCGTGCTGGGCCTGCACTCTGGGTGGAATGAGGATCCAAAGGCCCCGGGTCATCTCACTCAATCTCTGGGCCTGTGCTCCAGGTCTGTTCAGTATCCCACCAGGCCCCAGATTGTCTCACTCACTGCCTGGGCCTGCGCTCTGAGTCTATTCAGGATCCCGTGGCCCTGGGTCTTCTCACTCACTGGCTGGGCCTGCACTCTGGGTCTATTCAGGATCCGGAGGGCCCCAGACCGTCTTACTCACTGGCTGGGCCTGCGCTCTGGGTCTATTCAGGATCCCAAGGCCCAAGTCGTCTCAAGTTCTCTACTTTTAAAGTCTATTGCTTTGCAACTCAGTTAAATGTTGGCATTTTGAGTGTGCTAGTATCTTGAAATGTTACTAAACTCTGGGTACTTTCTAAATTAACTGATGAACTTTCCTGTAGGAATTAGATTACACATAGCAGAAAAGCTTTTGTTTTCTGGGGACTGCTGTAGTTGAAACTCCCCAAGACTGTGACTACCTTTTCTTTAGTGGACTGGATTTCAAAAAATTACTTTATTAGTGTCATAGAAATGATCAAAGTAAGATGTACAAAGCTTTACCTTATTTTGTTTGTATATTGTTGTGACATTTGCTATTTGAGTAACAGGTTGGAAAATCAATTCCCAGGCCTAGAAAACTCTTGGCAGCCAACTTAAGTAAGAACTATGTAAATGACATGAATACATTATGTGTGTACCCAGTAGTAATATAATTTGTTATCTTTGCCTTAGGAGCTAAATGGGAATGAAAGAAAATGCACATTAATTTCACATTTGAAATTCATGTTTAAAGTTTTCATGACTGTAGAATTTTAAGTAGGAATAAAGTTTCTCATATTTTCTTCCTTTGAATTGTTTTCTTTTCTTTTTTCTTTTTTTTTTTCTTTTGGTACAAGGGATTGAACTTACGACCTTGCGCTTGCCAAGCAAGTGCTTATTCTACTGAGCTATCTCCCCAACCCAGAATTATTTTCTTCTAATATCATCAAGTAAAACTTTCAATGTGACATTATTGACTTACTATTATGAGAGCTACCCTCAAAAGTGAATCAGTGGCTCAGTAGAATAAGCACTCCCCTGGCAAGCGCAAGGGCCTTAGTTCAATCCTCAGTTCCACAAAAAGAAAAAAAAAAGTGAATAAGTAGTTCAAATGCAATTTTTAAAACCTGAAGCATTAATAACTTGAAGTTTTGTAATGTCACAAAGTGATAATTAGTTGCACATAAATTAATAACTATCACATGTATTTTAAAGAGAAATAACATGATATATTACAGAATTTGGCAAGAAAACACTGCTGCTCACTGGCTGTGTGATTGTGCATACATTGCTAGTTTACATTAGATAAGAGAATAGTTTAATGGCTAGCATATTTGTCTTGGTTTCTTCATTCCAAAAAAAAAAAAAAGAAAGAAAGAAAGAAAGCTGACATTACAAACAAGCTTAGAGTATTTGTGCTGGGTGCATGTAAAATGTAAAATGTGCTCATTTATTTGGTATGCCATTGGTACATAATCTCAACTGAAGGACAGCTGGAAACCTTCTTTCAATCCATTCTTTGTGAAGCAATGACCAGTCAGTGAATTTCAGCAGCTGTCCTATGACTCTGGGACCCAACAGAAGGGGCTTAGACACCTGCAGACTTCCTAGAGGTGTCCACGTTACAGAGTCCTCAGAAAACATGGCTTGTTCATGTGACTTTCTGAGGTTTTGAGCCTTTAGTTTTCTAGTTTAGCTTTTCCAGATTATTTCCTTTTTTCCTCTTGAAAGATTACATCTACTTGAGAGAAAAACAAGGGCATAAAAACAGAAGAAATAATATCTTACACACTGGACTTCTGCATTTGGGGAGAAATAGACAAGACTAGAAATGGTTTCCATACATAAGCTTTAGAATTCATAAAATATATTATATAAAATACGATAAAGGTATGAGTTAAATCAGTGGTGGCAATGTTTGAGATGAGGTTGAGGTATGAATGCAGTAATGTGGAATGTAGTTAATAATAGCTTATATGTTGTTGTTTTGGCTATGTCTAAGGTAGTGGTGGTGAACCTGTGGCATGTATGCTGTAATAGGCAGTTTATTATCACTGGAATCTTCAAAAGGTTTGCCATCTCTGGTGTTAAGTTCAAAGTAGCAATAGAAGCATTCGTACTAGACTGGAAATGGTATTTTTTAAAAAAATATGTATTTAGTACAGGGTCTACAGGGTCTTACTACATAGATCAGACTCATGGAGATCCTCCTGTTTTCAGCCTCCCAATCCCTGGAATTACAGGTACACACCATCACACCCAGTCTGTGGCTGTCTCAGTGTGCCCTGTGGGGTGGGGCCAGCACGGCATGCTGGGGTTTGAACCCAGTCTCTGCGCCTGCACTTTAGTCTGCTGAGGTACGAGCCCGGCCCCTGGAAATTGTATTCTATTTATTTATTTATTTGAAATTATACTTTAAATGGATTGGGTTAAGAAAACATAATTTATATTTAGTAAAACATTGCTGAATAAAAATCAGTGTTAATGCTTCATTTTTTGTATATATGTATTTAAAATGTGAAAATTACATTGAAAAAGAAGGAAAAGATGGAAAGAAGTATTTCTTCAGAATCAAAATTTTTTTAAATCATTATCATAACAGCTTTGAGAATTAAAATCCTATTGATGTTTGATTCTGTACTTGTACAAATCACACTTAAAATAGCTTCCCTGTCATGCCTGTGTGACAGAGAACATGGAGCATGATATTTTGTTACTTGTGAATTACTTGTGATCACCTAGATTGCTGACCTTTGTATTTTTCCAAAGACTTTTTAAATAAAATATACGTGGAATGTCTTGAATTAAATAACTACATTTTAATTTCAGACCTTCGCCCTTACTGTGGTTGTTGGTAGGGTGAGGCGCCTTGCCTGCTGAATTGATATCTTGCTTTCTACGAAATGAAAGAGCTTCAGTTCTAGCATCTAGTTTGATTCAGCGGCACCCACCCCCTCTTAGGAAATGTGAGACTTGGCTGTGTTACTTAGGGTCTCTGTGCATCTGTTTTTCTTCTTGTTGTAGAAGAAGGTTGGAAGGAGAAAATGGGGCAGAGTGTGTGAAGGATTGAAACCAGTTCTAGGTACATGGCACGAAATGAATGGTAATTCTCTTAGACAGGGAAATCAGTTCTTCCCAGCTTAAACATGAAAGCATTCAGAAGCTCCTACTAGACACAGCCTGCTAAGCAGGCGATTAAGCTTCCATTTCACAAACTAATCCAGAGATTTCAAGTGCACATGATGTGAACTCTATTCCACTGGCTTCTACGGAGGGCTGGGAAAGTCCCAGCATCACTCTAGGTAGAAACCCAGTCCAATATGCTAACAAAAAACATGATTTCCTAAGTCAGGCTCATACCGCTCACATAACTGAAAGGATTCTGCCATTTCTCTTGCTTTCAAAGAGCAAAGCATTCCAATGAGTTCTGGGTTTCTGACAATAAATGTTCACTCATTATTTCTCAACTATTGGCTTCTATGTTCATTCTTGAATCAAGCGTTTTCAGTGCATGTTGTGGGTGTGGGCTACACGGAGGGGAGGGGGGGAAGGAGAGCTGTGAAAGGGGCATCATGTGTGAAGACACTGGAGAGCCGTGCATCATAATGGGACTCCTATAAAAAGCTCTGTAAGTGGCAAAGAGCAAGTCGTGGAACTGTGCGACAAGACAACAAAATAAAGCCATTTCACTAGATCCAGCAAATGTGTGGTTTTCTCCGAGCACTCCAGTGTCCAGAAAGCGAGCTTCACAGTTGTAAGCCTGATGTTGTGAGCCAGTTTTCCCTGTGTTCTGTCCTTGTAGACCTATGACGGTGTGAGCTCGGCCACCACCCGCCTGGCCAGTGTGTGTGGAAGACAGCAGTTGATGAACCCCATCACTTCTTCAGGGAACAGCCTCTATGTGAGATTCCAGTCTGGTGCTTCCAGACAGAGCAGGGGCTTCCTAGCCCAATTCAGACAAGGCAAGTGCCCTGCAGGTCTCTCTGGGAACAGAAGAAATTCTGTTAAGTGCTCTTCTTGGTGCTGTGAATTAAGGCAAGCCTTGAAAAATCAATCATAGCTCCTACTTAACATGAGAATATTAAATGGAGAGAAATATGACCTGATATTCCAATTGTTGATACTTTAAAATTTCTCCTTGTTAGATGATGCTGACTTCCTCTGGATCATCATATCTTTAAAATACATGGCACAGTCTGACATTTTTCAGAATGATATTTAAAGGTGTCTCTCTTGTTTGAGACAGAAATTTTCATCCAAAATACCTTTACTCTCACATAGCCAAGGTTTCCTGCTTCCAGGAGATATGAAACTCTCCTGCCCCGCAGAGCCAGATTCCAGCCCTTCATGGCTCTCAGTTCTGCATCCTGTCATTGCTCAGGTGGGGAGTCAGGGCTGTTTTCCATTGTTTAGTTTCTGACTCACTGTTTCCTGATTTTTCCTCCATGAACATTTTGACCATTGCTTTTTATTTACTTAATCTTTGTCAAAGGCTAACCCTTTCTTTTTAAAAAATGTTTTAAGAAATTTCTCTTTTTATCTAGTACAAGGTCCCCATACAGTTCAGACTTATAGTGATCCTCCTGTCTCAGCCTCTCCAGCACTGGAATTACAAGCATGCAGCACCATGCCCAGTTTTGGTGGCTGGCATGGCATGTGGGGGGACCAGGGATCGAACCCGGGTCCTTTTGTTTGCCAGGAAGTCACTTAGACTATAGAGCTATCTCCCCAGGCCAACATTAACACCTTCTATGCAACTATCAGATGTGGAGGGAACTCTGAACTCTATGTGGTCATGGTTTTGACATGGGTGGCTTAGAGCACTCGCTCTCATTACATTTAATCTGCTTAGTCATATCCAACTCAGTGGATGTGCTGGTATTTTCATGAAGAGCCCTCAGAAAGAACGATAACTGGATTAAGGGCTCCCAAAGACAAGCTATAAACTTTGATCAAGACACTCTATATTTCTGTCATTCACTCTCAGTGATGCTAGAGAAAAAAATTCTTAATGCCTTTTTATTTTACTTTTAATTACCACCAAAGTATTGCTTCAGAATAAAAGGTCCCCACTATTTCTTAGCTGGATTGTTGTAAGTCTCTTCAAACTCACCCACACTCATCAGTCTTCTTCCAAAGGCCCTTGCTAAAGCTTCTCTCTGACCATGCCACTGAGGACTTGTGTCTGTCCTGTCCCCACATGGTGTGGAAAATGAAGTACAATCCCCTTGTTAACCAAGGGTCTGACAGCCACTTTCCAGCACGATCTCCAACACGCCCCAAGCCCTGACCACTTCAGTATCATCCGTATCCGCACCCCCTACGTGTCTTTGCCCAGGCCTCCCCCTCTTGTCCAACCCTTCCCATCCTCCAGTTCCTGCTCTGTCCACAGTCAGAGCAGGAAGATACCTTGGGAGATACCTCTTAGACTCTCCAGTGGCAGTACATTCTCTGTCTCCTGGACTCTCACAGATCTTGGGAGCTTCTCTGATAATAAGTAATTATTCTGAGTAAGTCCTACTCTATTGAGTTATTACTTTCTTGAAGAAAAAGATAGATCATTTATAAGCAGATTGTTCCTAGGCTCCTTGTTTTTGGGTGGACAGAGAAAGTGAATGAAGGCCAGAGTTCTGTTTGCGTGATTCAGGCAATTCATAGCCACTTAATCTGTAGTTCTATACCACTTCCCCACTTGCTGTAATGGAAGAAAATTGTTATCAACATTAAGTGTGTTCCCTTTTTCTGACAGTTGAAGTGCAATTTCCTTGGCAGAGGACTTCCTTGGCATGCATTTCAGACATTTTAAAAAGTCATTTATGTTTTTATTCATCCGCAATTGTTTTATACCACCAATATAAATCACAAGTCTGTGACAGATGTATACACTTGTGTTCTGCAGTCTGTGGAGGCTACATCCTCACCAACTCCGTTGACACTATCTCTTCTCCACTGTACCCTGCCAAGTATGCACCCGACCAGAACTGCAGCTGGATCATTGAGGCACAGCCTCCATGTAAGTAGCAAGCATAGAAGAGGAACGACATCCAGCATAGATGGTGTTAGTGGGAAAGTCAGTCTGCAAGTAATGTTCTTATCTTTTCAATGGTGACAATTGCTGGACCTTCCTCTTTGTTTGAAAGTCCTAAGCATTTCTAGTCTCTAGTCCTAAGGAAGTAATTTTTACTGCATATATATATATATATATATATATATATATCTCAGCAAACATAATGGCCATGTGTGCCTTGAGTGTAGTGGGCACTCAGGATTGTGACTGAAAATAAGTATCTCTCACAGCCAGAGAATGCAATGCCACATGACCCTTGGTGTGCAAGACAAGCGGGACGGAATAAAACCTGGCCTCCCTGCAGCACACACATTGAAGAACAAACTGGCACACACCTGGAAGAAACACTCAGTAGTGCTTATTTGCTTTTGTAATCCTAGAATGTTACTTTCTGGCCTAGTAACAGTCTACTAATCTGATTTTACGAATTCTTGTCTATGTTTTAGCAGCAGAGAAAATGAGAGAACCTGGACAGACATGGCAAAAAAGGTCCAGTGGAAGTGATCCTGGGGCCAATATGAATCCTGTTTCATTTGAGACCTGCCCTCTTTTAAGGTTTTCAGGGAGCATTTATGATTTCAGACATAGTATGGGAAAGTTTTTGAGTTTTCACTCAGTTCTGTGACTCATGCCCTGTATGAAAATAGGCAAGTCACTTAACCTAATCAGCCTCCAGTACAAATAATTTACAAAATGAGAAGTTTGGCTTGAGGATTACCTAACCCTTTTCCTAGTGATGTTAGGGAACAGAGTGATGGTATCTTTATCCACATGGTAATATGCAGACCAGAATCTTTACAGATGGAGAAGGGAGAGCTCTAAGTGAGAGGAGGTTCACAAAGAAGCCCCTGCCTTGCTCCCAGCAGTGCTGTGCCTGATGATTATTTTTCTAGTGAGTTGTAAAGCATTTACATGAATGATCTCACTGCTTCAAGGAAAGTAACAGGAAAAGATCTTGTTCTATAGATTAGGTGCCCTGGAAGAGTGACAAAAGTGAAAATGTACACAGGCACTTGCCGTTCTGTGAGCAATTCAGAGCTCTCTTGGTAAAGGGGATCCTCCAGGACACTAACTGTGCCGGTCAAATAAACCTCAATGTGCTAGGATGTGTGCACCTTGGGGAAAAGAGGGCCTTAGTTATGAGGACAGATGGAGAGTTTGAAATAAAGAAACTGATCTTTGGAAAACAGAGGCTCTGAGAGGGTTGCAGCACTGACTGATAGGAAAATGCATAAGCCAACAACACACTTCCCATCATCCTACTGTTCACGACCAGCTCTTCAGATGCTCTCGGCATTTTCAAAACTATGGATTCTGGTAGCACGTCAGCTGCTTGGGCAGGGAATCTGTTGGCACAGAAACTGTGCTCTTCCCTGCCTTCATCCACTGACACAGATCTGACAAATTCTTTACTTCTCAGCTTGAAAAATCCTCATGTAGAATTATCAGAGGTAAAAAATGTCTTTGCTTGTATGTCTTGCTTGCCAGTTAAATAATTTCCCCATCTCCTTCTGCTTGTCTGTTTTCTTACAGTCAATCATATTACACTCTCCTTTACCCACTTTGAGCTTGAACAAAATAGGGGCTGTACACGGGACTTCATAGAGATTTTGGATGGCAGCAACTCTGATGCACCCCTTCGAGGTACTGTAGTGTTCACTCATTTACATATGTGGTTGTGGCTGTGTGTTATTTATATACCTCCCTGTTTGTACATTTCCATTCAAGGTTAGAATGTTTTTAATAAATGTGAAGAGTAGCATAAGGCAAGTAAATGTAATTAGAGAGTAAAAAAGCAGAGTTTACTATGTGGTTCAGAAAACAGCATGTTTATATTCAAGGACATAAGTAGTTTGTGTATATTTTTAAAAAATTAAAAGTTGCAAGTGAGGGAGTGGTGGGATGAAGTCTGTTCCAGCTTTAGATAAAATTCTGTCTAAATTTCTTGTCAATATTTGAAAAAAAGTTCTTGCATTCAAAGTGAGCATATTTCTTCTTGTCTTCAGTCAAAGCAGAAGAAATTAATTGCTTAAATTAAAAATCTGTCCTGTTATTTGTTAGACATGCCAGTAAAATTAAAGTGTGCTTTTATGTAGTTTCTAAAATACTTTCAAGCAAAATAATTTGAGGAGTAATCAGTTTTTCCATCAGCTTATTAGATACTGGGTTTTGTCCCACAAACTTTTCCTATGGTACTGGAAGACAGGCTGTGTCAAAGAAGAGACTCTTTCTCTTATCACCTTATTCTTTGCACCGGAATAGAGTGGCCAGCAAGGCAGCCATGAGCACTATATTTCTCTGAATGTCTCTTGGGGGGTTTTCTGAGGCCTTGCTCTGTGAGTCTTGGGCCAAGGATGAGGAAGAGTCATTTAGCAGCCATCTGTGGAGCACTGCCTTGTGCCGAGCACTACTTTACTTTATTTTTTTTTCTTTTCAAAGTTTTATTGATAAACATATAGCAATCAGACAGTTTCAAATCAAATCAGAAGTACAGTTTCAACAAATAATACACTGCATATATTCTTCTTAGTGGTTAATTGCTGTACAAGATGCAGACTTGTGATCCTACTTACAAACACCATTAGAAAAAATCATTCTATTCATTAAGAGAATGCAACTATATATCTATCCCAACCACTTTGAATACACAGATACAAAATGGACATTCATAGTTATACCCCAATTTTTTTTTAAGTTCCGTTGTTGAATATTATAGGTGTGTAAACTCAGCAAAATATTCTAAAAGAGTACAGAAGCCCATAATAGCATTGGGTCTTCTGTTTAATTGGCAATGTCAGAAATTATTGACATGAGTCCCCCACAGCTCAACATAACAACATGGCTTTACTTCCTATATTTCATCTTCATACTTTTCTACTGGATGGTTAAGACCAAGGTAAAGCAGAACCTATGCAACAAGAGTTGTAGCTTTTTGGTTTGAGAAGGTCAGTGAAATGCCCTCAGGATTTATCCTGAGATCCTGTACCTCAGATTGTAGAACCTTTGTCAGTGCAGCCATGTGGATGAGTCACGGCCATTGCTTGGCCAATGTGCTCTCTGTGAAAGCCTGAGAGAGTGTCTTCTCCTCATGTGACTCTCCTTAGGCACACTCCACATCATCGATCAATTTCCTCTTTGGCCCCATAAGCTTCTTGATCAGAAAATCTGGGACACTACTGAGGTACATGACATTACAGTACAAGTTCTCATATGTCCTGAGTCTTAATTGACCTTAGAAGGACTACTTTACTTTAGGAATAGGAATGTAGTCCTTGTGCTTGTGTGACACAGGTTTCATTATTTTTAATGTACCCTTTTATTACACAAGGAAAAGTAGGCACAGAGCACTTAACTCGCCCCAAGTCACATAGCTAGCAAATAGCAGAGCCAGGAGTTGAATCTGGATCACCTGGCTCCAGCAGCTGCGCTTCTCTGCACTGCGTGTACTGAGGATGCTAAGTACTAGTGTATTTATTTGGGCAGGTCCATACTACACTGGAGATTTTCCTTGAGTTAGCTTTGGAGCCAGATCATGTAAATCTCTGCTCTGTTCTTTCTCATGCATTATACAAATCATCTCTCCAATGCTTCTATTTAGAGCTTGTTTTAAATTCTCAGGCATTGTTTAACAAACTAACACTTGTTAAATGATTCTCTTAGTAATGATTTCTTCTCAATGGGTGGTTCTCCTGTAACTGTGGTAGAAGTATTTACAGCCTCTGCCACATCATGGGTCATTCTCTTTGTCATTACCTTCATCCCTTAGGCCGCTACTGTGGTTCCACCATGCCCCATCCCATCACGTCATTCAGCAATGCCCTGACCCTGAGGTTCATCTCTAATCATGGAAACAATTATGCTGGTTTTCATGCCCTGTATGCTGCATCAACATCAGGTAAGAAACCTGATCAGAGGGCTACCATGTCAGCAGCCTGTGATAGAACACTGTTATTTGGTACTCTTTCACCTCCAAAGTTGGGAGCTAGTTTCTTGAAATCACCCCTGCATCTCATCTTATCTTTTTCCCAACTAGGTAAACACATAAATTCCAGCAATAGAAAACTCTAAAATGAGAAATTTGGTTAGCAACATGGCTGTGGTTTTAGATAATCTTATGATCTCACCTGTCTTGCTTAGCCGTGTCTTAATGACATGCTTGCTAAGGTGGCCCCTGGCTGCCAGCATCTGATGGTGTCTATTACAGATGAACAAACACATGGCAGTTCACCTATCCACCACCTCCTGGCCCTTGCTACTGGGCTCAGGCAAGGTCTGGATGTTGACATGGGGAGGAAGGGAGAGGAGCCACCAGCCCTGGGCTTCGTAGACAGGTGGAGCTATTTTCACAGTCAGCTTCCATGTTAGTAAAAAGCTGAAGAAGAGTTGGGGGGATGTGTTTTGGTATTCTCCAAAATGAAAAAGCTGGAATAATGCCATCCCTTCCAGGCCAAGGTTGAAGATAATCCTGGTCAGAAAAAAACAAGTGGTTGTCGGATTAAAAATAAATCTTTTTTTTTTTCTTTTTTCTTTTTCTTTTTTTTTTTTAACCCAAACTTGGAGTTCAGAGGGAGAAAAGGCTTTGAGGGAGGACACTGCAGAGATTCTTTCTGCTTCACCACACTCTGCGGGCCTTGATTTTCAGGTTGCAGAACCTTTCCCTTAATGTGACATAGGCTTAGGAAGTGTTTCATCGTTGGGTGCTGACAATGGCTCTAATGTTCCTTCTTTGTATTGTGGCCGCTTGCTTTTGATCTGTGCTCTGACATTCTATTTATTTCTCTTTTCTTCTAGCTTGTGGTGGAAGCTTCCACATGGCTGCAGGCATCTTCGAGACCCCTGGCTATCCTGACGTTTATCCCCCTAATACGGAATGTGTCTGGAACATTCGGAGTTCCCCTAGCAACCGGATCCAGCTGTCTTTTATGTAAATCCTTTTTTATGGTATATTGTTTCAGCGCTAATGAATCTGTAGGAAGGAAGCTCTGTTACTAATAGGATTAGCAACCAACAGCATATGTGTCCAAGCAACTGCTGAAGAGAATACGGTGGGAACTTTGGGGAGTTTTTCTCCAAATTTCCTATGTTTTGGTCATCAATTGAGTTAAAAATAACATGAAGATTCTCTCAGAAATGGTCCTAGAGTTCTGCTTTGACACTACCAGAAATACATTGTTGAGCTCTTGGTGAATAAATGGTGGAATATTCATGGTCATAGTACAGGAATTTTATCATTTTTGGAATTAGGCCAATTTCAGGTACTGCCAGTTGAGAAATTCTCAGGTCAATTAAGACTATTTCTGTACCAATATGTCTTATCCCTAACTTAATCCCCCTTTCTTTCTTTCCCTTTCACAAGAATGATCTTGGAAGTTTTTTGGAACTCAGTGGTTGATTTATAAAAATTTCTTTCAAACTCTAACACTTTCTGAATATGGACTGTAGGCATGGAATTAACAACAGCATCTCACATCTTGAGTAGTCTTAGGTTAAGTTAAATAACAATGATTTCTCAGAAGTAAATATCAAAAGCATGTGGCATATGAATGGAATGTTTTAATCAATCATTAGGGAGGTACTCGTGTCATGCTACATTGGTAATGGATGCTTAACTGTGGAGAGAGAGTACTTCAGTATTTTAAGTTGCCATTTTGAATTAGATGCATCACTTGACTATGGTAGGGATTGCTAATTCTGGGTTGATGAGAATATTAGTAACGTAATGTGGAGAGAAGTGTTTAGAGGATACTGGCCTACTCATTCAGCAGTCTGCCTCTTCCTCCTAGACACTCCAATCTTTCCATCAAGACCTGAAGAAATGTAAGACAACAGTGCTATTTGTGGAACAGGGCCAAACATCTCAAGTAGCTTTCTTTAGTCCATAAGTCAGAGAATGCTTCTTCAGAGTGCAAGTGGCCTTGTGCTAAGACAGACACCCTCTGCATGCCTGAAAGCCAATGCAGTTTCAAGCTGCTATGTGAGAAGGGGGTTATGGTTTGTCGTGGTGTTCACTAAAAGTACAAAATTCTATGAGAACAGATCTCTCTGTGTAAGGTCCATCTGACATATGTTTATTCCTGTATTCAGCAGATGCTTAGGAAACCCTATGCTAAGCATGTAGTCAGTAGAGGCAAGATTCTTTAAATACAATAAAGAATAAGACAATCACTGTTCTTATGATGAATTCCAAGGTCCTTCACATCCTCCTTAGACCCCAAAACTTTGCAAATGAAATAACTTCCTTGCTAGGTCTTTTTCTTCTTGATCCCCACCACGTCCATTCTTTGGACTACTCTAATGCTCAGAGGCTGTCAAGAACTGGATTGGATATTAGGAACATTTAAGGCCCATAAGTTCCAAGTTTGTGGCACATCATTCATGAAGTAACATAAAATCTATTTAGTTGAAACCTCAGAAGATGCTAATGAACTTCTAGGACTACCATTAGGATTAAAATGTCAAATTAAAAAATATACTGTATAGCACAAAGCTGTTGAATGTTAAATTCTCCCAGTATTTGCCATTTCCAAAGTGTCTTCTATTGTGCTTTACAAATAAACCTAAATGGACAGCACTGAACTTGCCCTCTATGAGGACCTGAGAGTATAAGTGCAGCACGCTGCACCCCTTTTACTATTTAATAGACATTAAGTCCTGATTTAATTACTGTATCAAAGAATTTGTGAAAACTCAGCTATTTCCTTTCTCACCTATAAAAAGTTAAATTTGATTGCTTTTGTGTTATTTGAATTTTACTGTTGAAATGAATTTTTCAGAATGCAAGACGCTTCTTTTTGCACAGCTAATGAGAAGGGCTCCGTGGCGAGGCCTGTGAGCTATCGGCTTCCTCCTTGATCTAAACTACATCCAGATGGGCTCTTAGAAACCTCCCCCTGGGCTGTGTGAGAAGCCTTGGGGAAGCATACGAAACACATCAAGTTCTCAACCGCAGGGTTTGGGTTGTGGACACTGCGGTGTGAAATCGAGCAGGGAGAAAAACTGGAGAAATTAGGATTGAGTCTGCAACAAAAAGTATTTGGGAGAAATAAAACCTTAAAAGGAGTGTTTTTTTTTATTTTTGGTAGAACAGATATTTAAAGAAATTATCAAAAACTGTGCTTTATGCTTGTAGAGTGCTTTTAGAAAGTCTTGCTTCAAGAATTGAAATGAGATAATGAGAAGCAGCGATTGTATTATTTTTGTTTCACATCATACTTTTGCTAACATCTTAGCCAAAGAGTAGACTTGCTTATAAAATGTACCAGCTGAAGACAATGATTTCCAAGAATAATAAAAACATTTTTAGAACTTCAGCTTGATTCTTATAGATAGTCTCTTAGCATAATTTAGTCTTTTCTGCTGTTTAGCACTAGATTATAGTCTGATGCACACAAAGACCTTCACTTTGTAATTTTCTTGACAATGGTGCAAAATTTTAATAACACATTGACCACCTGGGATCTTCCTAAAATTTCCATTCTGATTCAGTTAGCTAATGGAGCCTGCTTCTTCGTGTTGAATAAGCTCTCTGGTCTTGTTGATGCCGCCAGGCCGTGTACCACACAGGCTTTAGAGGCAATTTCAAGAACTGCACCGCCTGAGGAAAATAATCTTCCCTTCTTCCCTGTCTGAAAAGCAGAGAAAAACAATTTTAGCATATTTCACATTGTGGTTTATAAAATCGAGCCTGAATTTAAGCAACAAAGTTAGCAGTCATCCCACAGATGGGCTCAGAACAATTCCTGGTGAAAATTGATGGTAGATGTAAAGGTTGTGTTACAAAGCATAAGCTTGTCAATGAAGTAAAGAAAAGTAGGAGTCTGATTTGCCTTATGTGGACACTTCCTGGTTTCTTCTTCTTCTCATTCATTAATCATATCTTGTTGCTGTAACTACATTTAGAACATAGTGCCAGTGGCTTGTTCCCCGATGACCCACCTTGAGGGGATCATGAGGGTCATGGGTGTACTGTTTTCCTAGCTAGAGACTTAGCAATGGTACTGTCTGGCTTGAGAAGCAAGGAAAGACTGGAACAGAGCAATTAGTTGGCTCTCATGTCCTGGTCATCAGGGAATACAGAGATGTGTGGTTGATAGGTTGATTCCGTAGAGACACGTGAATTAGCCCAAGCTTCCCGGTGGCCGAGGCTCAGCATTCCTAATCCATTAACTCAAGTGGAGCCCCTGGGAGTGCTACACTTAGTGTGCAGGCTTGCTGGCCTTCATTTTGAGACTGACTGAAAGATATGTATTATGCACTGCACAGTGGATTTCCTGTTCTCGAGATGTGTATTTTCCCTGCTTGCTGATAGTGTTTTTCTCTGAAGCATAAATAACTCATTCATTCTTCCTCGCTTGATCTTGTCTTTCCTCTTAACAAAATCTTCCAACAACCAATAGAACAGTTTGTATTTGGCATCTTCTATTTTTTTTCCAACAGCCTAATTAATTTTCCTTTAAATAAAATAGTACAGGGCAACAAAAGTTCCCATCCATGTCCCTTTACCTTCTCATCATAAAGATAACTCCTCATATGTTGAATTTTATGTGTATCATTTTCCTTCATATTTCATAGGGGTTTTTTTGTTGTTGTTTGTTTGTTTTGTAGTGATCCTCCTGTTTTCAGCATCCCAAGTACTGGGCTTACAGGCGGGCTCTACAGTCCCAATTGCAGTTTCAGCACACCCCAGGGGTGTGGCCTGCACCACGGCCAGGGATTGAACTCAAGTACCTGTGTCTGCCTAAGAAGGTGCTTTAATCCACTGAGCTGTCTGGCCAACCCTCATATTTCATCTTTTTAAATGCATCTATAGGGCCGGCCAGATAGCTCAGTTAGCTAAAATGCCTGCTATGGCAGAGCACAGCGGCTGGGGTTGTGCTGGCCCCGCCTGTGGGGCAAACTGAGATGGTGATTGAGATTGTGCTTGGTGGCACGCACCTGTAATCCCAGGGCTTGGGAGGCTAAAAACAGGAGAATCACTAAAAGTCCTATCTATGTAGTGAGACCCTGTCCTAAATTCATTTAAATAAATAAATAAATACATCTATCGGTACATATATACTCCATTAGGTATTGCTTTTTTTTTTTTTTAAGCACTGCTTTCTGTTTTACATTTTACATGCATGGACTCATACTTAGTGATTTAACTAGAATTACACTGGATTTATTAATTAATTTTAAGTATCATCTTTATGACCATGACACTTCATGTCCTTAAATTGAAATAGGAACATCTCTATTAATTTAGCTCTTCATTTATGTCCATCAATAAAATTTCATATTTCTTTTCCATAAAGGTCTAAAAAGTCTTTTTTTACATTTATTACGAGGCATCTTGTTTTCTTTTATTGCCATTGAAAAATGGTATCCACTTTAAAGTTACAGATATAACCTGACTGCCCTACCTAAAATAGCACCCCCTTATTGTATTTTTTTTTCCTCTTAGAATTTAGCACTACCTCAGGACTGGCAAGATAGCTCAGTGGACTAAGTACCTGTGTGCAAGGACAGGGAAAAGGGGCCTGCCTGACTCCTGCACCACAGGCTGTGCTGGTCCCTCCCACGGGCACTATGAATGTACCACTGAGTCTGGGCATGGTGGCACACGCCTGTAATTTCAATATTGGAGAGGCTGAGACAGGAGGATCACTAGGAGTGAGACCCTATACCAAATACATAAATAACAATAATAATAATATTTTCAAAGTTAATCCATGTTGTAACATGTGTTCATATGTGTGTGTGCGTGTGTGCGTGTGCGTGCACGCACGCTACATTTTGTTCATCCACCCATCTCTCAATGGACATGTGAGTTGTTCTCACTATTGGTTCTTATGATTTATGTTATCATGGCTATCAGTGTACAAATATTTGGCTGATCTAATGCTTTCAATTATTTTGAGTATATTCATAGAAGTAGAATTGCTGGATCATGTGGAATTTTGTGTTCAGCTTTTTGAGGAACCACCAAAATGTTTTCTGCAGTGGCTGTGCCATGTTGTATTTCCATCAGCAATGCACAAGAGTTTTGCTTTCTCTCTGTCCTTATCAACACTCTTCTTTTTTATTATAATATCTATCTTAGCAGGTATGAAGTGTTAACTCATTGCACTTTTCTTTCTTTCTCTCTTTTTGTATTTTTTTGCCAATTTAAATATTTTTATTGAAGACATTGCATTGTGACTTATAGCACAGTACTTAAAGTGAAGTGCTGTGTTTCCCTGTGCACATGTTCCGCTATTCAAGTATTGAGAATGCCCAGTACTTTACTATAGCAGCCCAACTTTAACTGCCACAGAATTTGCTACAAATTTAGGTCCTTCAATTTTATTGATTGTGGAAGAATGCTATATTTATATTTAGGGTTGGCTTAATTCACCTTTTCAATGGTGGGCCTGGAGGAAGCACACCAGAGGGAGGAGCTCCTCCACCAGGGAAGCCCCAGGCATCCCTCCAGGCCTGCCACCTGCACTCTGGTACAGCTTGGTGGTGATGGGATTGCAGACTTTCTCGAGCTCTTTCTGCTGATTCTTCTTTCTCCATAGTCTGATTCTTACCCAGCCATTTGATGATCTCATTGTACTTGTCAAGAATCTTCTGTTTATCATCACCATTAATTTTGCCTTGAAGCTTCTCATCTTCACCAGTTGCTTTCATATTGAAAGCGTAGGACTCCAATGAGTTCTTGGCAGACACTTTGCCCCTTTGCTTCTCATCTTCAGCTTTTTACTTTTCTACTTCCTGGACCTTATGCTCTATTTCCTCCTTTCTCGAATGGCCCTTATAGTTAGTAATGGTAATCTTGTTCTCTTTTCCTGTACTTTTATCGACTGTAGAAACATTGAGGATGCCATTGGCATCAATATCAAAAGTTACTTCAATCTGAGGAACACCACGGGGTGCAGGAGGTATGCCTGTGAGTTCAAACTTGCCAAGCAGATTGTCATCCTTGGTCATGGCTCGCTCACCTTCATAGACCTGAATGAGCACACCAGGCTGGTTGTCCAAGTAGGTAGTGAAGGTCTGGGTGTGCTTCGTAGGAATGATGGTATTGCGCTTGATGAAGACTGTCATGACACCACCAGCAGCTTCAATACCAAGAGAAAAAGGAGTCATATCCAACAGCAGCAAATCTTGGGCATCTTCAGACCTGTATCCAGATAAAATGGCTGCCTGGGCAGCTGCATCATAAGCAGCAGCCTCATCAAGATTGATGCTCTTATTCAATTCTTTTCCATTGAAGAAGTCTTGAAAATCTTCTGGATCTTGGGGATATGGATAGAACCACCCACTAGGACAATGTCATGGACCTGAGGCTTGTCCAGTTTAGCATCTTGAAGAGCCTTCTCCACAGGGTCTAGAGTGCCACGGAACAGGTCAGCATTCAGCTCTTCAAACTGAGCATGAGTAATGGAGGTGTAGAAGTCAGTCCTTTCATGGAGGGAATTGATCTCAATACTGGCTTGGGTGCTGGAAGAGATGGTTCTCTTAGCTTGCTCACATGCAGTACGAAGATGGCGGACAGCTCTTTTGTTCTCATTGATATCCTTCTTGTACTTGCACTTGAATTCAGCAATGAAATGACTGATCATTTGATTGTCAAAATCTTCTTCATGTAAGTGGGTGTCTCCAGCTGTAGATTTCACTTCAAAGATTCCATCCTCAATAGTGAGGATTAACACATCAAAAGTGCTACCTCCTCAGTAAAAAATCAGCACATTTCTTTCAGCTCCAACCTTTTTGTCTAAGCCATAAGCAATATCCACAGCAGTTGGTTCATTGATAATTCTAAGTATGTTAAGACCAGCATTAGTTCCAGCATCTTTGGTTGCCTGACTCTGAAAATCATTAGAGTAAGCTGGCACAGTGACCACAGCATTGGTAACAGTCTTCCCTGGATGAGCTTCTGCAATCTCCTTCATCTTTGTCAGCACCATAGAAGACACCTCCTCTGGGTAGAAGCTCTTTGTCTCTCCTCTGTATTCTACTTGAACCTTGGGCCTGCCTGCATCATTCACCACCATGAAGGGCCAGTGCTTCATATCAGACTGGACAATAGCATCATCAAATCTATGTCCAATCAGACACTTAGCGTCAAAAACTGTGTTGGTGGGGTTCATGGCCACTTGAATTTTTGCAGCATCTCCAATCAGTTGTTTGATGTCAGTGAAAGCAACATAGCTTGGAGTGGTCCAGTTTCCCTGATCATTGGAAATTATCTCCCCTTTTTCATGCTGGAAGACACCCACACAGGAGTAGGTGGTGCCAAGATCAGTACCAGTTGCAGGTCCCTTCGACATGGTTGCTCATGTAAAGGCCTGGCTGTGCTAGCAAAGACGTCACACAAGTAGCCCCTCACCTACTGGCACATCCAATGAGACCTCTTTTTGTATTTAGTACAAGGTCTACAGGTCTACAGGGTCTCACTATCTAGATTGGATTTGTAGTGATCCTCCTGTGTTCAGCCTCCCAAGAGCTGGGATTACACTTGGGTGCCCCTACACCCAGTCTCTCATTGCAGTTTTCATATGCATTCATATAACAGCTAATAATGTTGAGCATCTTCTTATAGTTTTAATTGTTATTCATTGGTCTTCTTAGGAGAAGTGTCTTTTCAGTTCCTTTGCTATTTTTAATTGGTTATTGGAGCCTTTTTTGAATTGCAAAATTTATTTTATATTCAAGATACTAGTATCATCTTATGTTTTTAGTTTTCTTGGTTAAATAACTGGAAGTGGAATTTCTGGGTTAGTTGCATGCGTGTGATTTTATAAGAAACCCCAAACAATTATTAAAAGTGACTGTATCAGTATATAGTCCCCAAAAGAACATGACACTTCCAGGTGTTCTGCATGCTTGCCAACATTGGATCTTGTCAATCATTTTTTATTTCAGCTATTCTGATGTATCTGACATAATATCTTATTGTGGTACTTTCCATGAATTTCCCTGAGGACTAATCATGTAGAATACTTTGCAGGTTCTCATTGGTCATTCATTTTCCTTTATTTCAAATCTTTTGTCCATTTTAAACTGGTTTGTAGGAATGTCTTTTATATTCCTGCTACAGGTCCCTTGTTAGATATGCACTTTGAAGTTTTCTTCTTTTACTTATTCCAGTCTTTGAATTGTCTATTAATTTTCTCTCTTGCACTCTTAATGATGAGAAAATTTCTAAGAAATCACATTTATTAATTTTTCATTTTATGAATAGTGCTTTTTTGCATTTTATCTTAGACATATTTGCCTATTCCAAGGTTGCAATGATAGTCTTTTGTTTTCTTCTAGGAGTTTCATTGCTCCACATTTGTATGTACTTCTATAAGACATATTAGTTTCTGTACATAAAGAAATAGGAGGGGCCGGGGAGATAGCTCAGTAGAATAAGCGCTTGCCTAGCAAGCGCAAAGGCCTGAGTTCAATCTCCAGTTCCGGAAAAAAAAAAATAGGAGCTGAGAATCTCTCTCTCTCTCTCTCTCTCTCTCTCTCTCCTCTCTGTTTCTTTCTTTTTCTTTCTCTTTTCTTCCCCTCCCCTCCCCTCGCCTTCCATTCTCTTCCCTCCCCTCTCCTCTCCTGCTAGTTGTTGAATCATCATTTTCCTCATGGAATTCTCCGGCCACATTGTATTGTCTTATATTAACTATGTATTTGTGGACCCTCATCCAAACTTTCTTTTCTAGTTCACTCTCTCTTTATCTACCCTTATACCAATACCCCATTATTTGGTTATCTTTAAGCAAAAAAAATTCAGACCTTCACTCTCTTCACCTACCTATTCCACTCTTTATCCATGTTTCTTCTGAAAATCACAAGGCAGATATTTTCCCAGCCCTGATTAGTTCTCAATTGCATAGTATAAGAGAAGTTGAAGAGGCCACCTTTGTACACCAGGCTGCATTACTTCAAATCTCATAATTTCTCTATCTTTCCATAAATCAAGTTCCACATGCCTTTCCATGGCACTTAAACTCTGCCAAAATTATCGCACTGCACTGCTCCAGCTGTACCTGTCTCTCGATGGCTTTGTGGTACCGACTAGCTATCGCACAGGTTCCTCTGTGAACCCGGCCCTGGTCTGTGCGTGGGCCCCTGAGTGTGCATTCTCTGCCCATTGCCCATGCTCCTCAGCCAGTGAATGTTTCCATTTTCATCTCCCAAGTCGCTCCAAATTATTACTGAACCCCATATTCAGATATACTTGTGCTCAAAATTTTCATGCCCCTACATTTACGGATTTGCTTCCGAGAACTGAACCCAGAGCCTTGTGCATGCTAAAGTGACCCTGTGCTCCACCTTTGAGCTGCTGCACTACCCCCTCTTAAGGTACTTTCTACCTCCATTGTACTCATGTCCTCCCGTGGATGCTTTTCTGTATTTTTGCCCAGTCTAACCCACCAAGAAGAGAACTCCTTGAAAATAGTATACTTTGTATATTTTGTCTAAAGATTTGAACAAATTTGAGTGAAAGTTGTTTTTGTTGCTGTTGTTTGGTTTCATTTTTGTTGTTGTTTTTGCCATAGTTAAGGAGTCTGTTAATCAAAGTTAAAAAGGTTTTTAAAGAAAGGACAGATTGATCAGGTATACAGTTCAAGGTAATCCTAAAATTCATTCTGTTAGTGTTAATTCTGTTAACTCCTTTTTTTTTTTTTTTTTTTTTCTTTTCCTCTCCAAATCAGGTCTTTTCAGTTGGAGGCCTCTCAGGACTGCAGCAAAGATTTTGTGGAGATCCGAGAAGGGAATTCCACTGGTCACTTGGTGGGAAGATACTGTGGAAGCTCCCTGCCCCAAAATTTCTCAGTTACTGTAGAAAATCTTATGTGGATCAGATTTGTCTCAGATGGCTCGCACAATAGCATGGGCTTCCAGGCCTCGTTTACTATGAGTAAGTCAGTGCTGTTTTAAGGATGGCTTCCAAAATATGTGCCACAAACTAGGAATGCATTCTTTTTCAAGAATACATTAATCAAGAACAATCTTAAATTCTACACTATCCTTCCATATTGTTGATTTGCTGCATCATATATCGAAAATACCAAATTATATATAAGAATAGCTCATTAAGAGCAAATGAAAATTATTTGATGGTCTAATATGCCTTTTAAGCTCTAATTTGTGCCTAACATTTTTATTACCATGTCATGTGACAGAATCTTCTAATATGGCTTTGGCATAGTATATTTCTATCAAATGTACTTCATTTGAGGCCATAAACTATGTTCTCAAATTAAGGATCATTAATATGACCTTTGGATTGATTTCAGTGCTCAGATACAATAACAACAGAGTGTTTTCCCAACAGATATAAAATGTCAGCTATTTTGGGGCAGATTGATTCACTGTACTGCTGGGGACCAAGCCCAAGGCCCTGTACACGCTAGTCAGCCACTGCACCACCAGCCTTCATCCTGAGCGCTATTTCTGTTTTTTTAACTCAAGTTTTATATAGTTGGTTCCTCTGTATGCTCAGTTTCCTTATAATTTAAAATTTAAAATGGAACATCTTTCTTTTGTAAAATAAAGTGAAATAGGTAAAGCAGGGATGGTAACCCTTTTCCCATCTTCCTGGAGGCCTAGGAAGCCCTTTTCACATGGGAAATTGTCACCTCTTTTCATAGTTTGCAACCTGTTAAGGAGATAAGATTCCATTTAGCAAAACACGCTTCTCAGAGGAATTAATAAACAGCCTGGAAAGCAAATGAGAAGCAATATTTCTTTCAGTAGTCGGAAAAGAAATTATAGTCGATTAAAGTCCATTCTGGTCTTTTGTTTTTTAGAATTTCTTTCCATTTGATTAAAGAGCTATTCTAAATAGGTCTGATTTACTACTCTGTTTCTCCTCCTAGTATTTGGCAATGATAATATTGAGGGAACCCATGGGAGAATCGCTTCTCCTCTCTGGCCTGGAAACTATCCCCATAACGCCAATTACAAATGGACAGTCAATGTGAATAGCTCTCAAATTATCCGTGGTAGGATCTTAGAGATGGACATGGAAGCAGCAAATTATTGCCTTTATGACAAATTAAAGGTGAGTTTCCTTGTGAATTCTATGTTTATAAATTTTGATGTATTACAAATCCAAATTAATGGCTATTCAAGCAATTGCAAAATGTGTGGGATGGATGATCCACCCCAAATTATGATTACTACCTATTTATTGCCTGCACTAAAGTAATTCCAGCTCATTTATTATTTTCTATAGTGTATCAAAGGATACCTGGCAGTGTTTTACTTAACTTATGGGGCTTTGTCTAAGTATGCCGGTGTGCTAATTAAGCATTTATCTTATCTTATATCATATTATCCTGTTTGTTCCTATGCTCAAGTATTAATGATTTAAAGGACCATGTAAGAATAAATAAATATAGAAATTATAGGGGCCGGGGAGATGGCTCAGTGGATAAGTGCGTCTCTGGCAAGCGCAAGAGCCTGAGTTCAATCCCCGGTTCTGCAAAAAATGAAAAAAAAAAAAAAAGAAATTATAGCAATCAGCGTCATCCAGGCACTGCACACTGTATCAATCTCAGAAATATTATCAGATCTCCAAGAGTTGGAATCTCACCTTGCACATCTTGTATGCTCAGTGCTTTGTTCTGTCCAGATTTGTACAAAAATATGGAGAAAATAATTTGTACAAAAATAATTGTTACATAATTTTTTACAATGAAGTTTAGTAGAGGATTTTATAATATTACGATGAAATTGTTGCCAATTATTTCTAAACTATCACAAAATGAGTCTCTTAAATATGTGACTAAATAATTTTAAACCAAATAAAGACAATTTATTGGGTGTTTTGAATGTGCCGAGACTTGTTAACTATGATTCTTGCATCAATTGTTCTTTTCTTCTTTGGACATATGTACTCTTTCCAACTACCTACCCGCTTTCTCTCATTAAATCTGCTTCTTCCTTGTTATTTTCATTTTTTAATTCTTAATTCCTCTCCTTAGTGCTCCAAAGCATATTTATTAAGTATTGTCATTGTATAACTATCTAAGGTTCTATTTTTCTACCCACAAATTTTAAGTCATTGATTATGGTGTATCCTATGGAGAATTACTGCAATTGCAATAAAGTTGTATGTATCTTGAAATACCTTAAATTATTTGCAATAATATTTTACCTTTAAAGACAGTCTATTTTAAACGGAAGTAACATGTTTTCTTATTTTTATTATGATAGCATTGTAATAGTATAAGGCACCTTTTAAGTTTTCTTTTTTAGGAAGAAAAGGAGCGATAGCTGCCTATGAACAATGTATTATTATCTCTTTTTGTATGCAGATTTATGATGGTGTTGGCATTCATTCTCGCCTGATTGGTACTTACTGTGGTACTGAAGCTCAGTCTTTTACCTCCACGAGAAATTCTTTGACCTTTCAGTTTTTGTCTGACGCTTCAACCTCAGGGAAGGGATTTCTTCTGGAGTGGTTTGCAGAAGACAGTTCTCCGGGAACTTTGCCTACCATTGCTCCAGGTGTGTTTGGTAGTAAGTGAAACTCTTCTCGGGTCTCATATGCATAAGCCAGTATTTCAACAGCCTCAGTCACAAACACACAAATAAGATTTGGTGGGGTCCCCAAACTCCTTCCCCTATACGGCCAGATGTCTTTTCAAATTCATAAATATTTATATGTTATAAAATATTATATTGTGCCTGAAAATGTAGGCACGATATAATTTTCATTATATTTTCATGTAAAGTAGGTGTTTAGTAACCATATGACATTCTATTTATACTTTCTAGAGATGATTTAAGAACTCTCTAAAAGTTTAATTTGCAAGTGTAACACAAGCACATGCACGCGTGCACACACACTGACATGGTACTTCAATATCAACTAATAGAACTATTTTTCCCTAAGTTTTATTTTGTAAAAAGTACCACACATGAAAATTTTATTAAAACTAACAAAGCTTTAACATTTTAAAATATATTAGCAAACGAAACATATCAAAGCATTCCACATGGTAATATTTAATTTAATGTAATAAATACTTATTGAGGAAATATTATGAAGGAAGAGTCATATACTTCTGGAATCATGGCATCTGTATACTTCTGAAAAATCTATTCCTCTGTAAAAGTGATGAGAACACTGGTTAAAAAAAATCATCAAAATCAAGTCTTAAGACCTCTAGAAATGGACTCAGCTGAGGTATATTTATTCAAGAAAATTGCAGTCTCAGTAAAAACAGTGCCTTTTTCTATCTCTTCCCCGTCCCCCCCCCCCCCCCGTTTTAGAGCAGCTTTTCAACAGCTCCACAACCATGATACCAGTTAAAAGCAGCTGTTTGGCAGCTTAGCAGCCAGGGGGGCAGGGCAGAACTGGACAGAGCACTTCCTGTCTCCATGGAGTTGCCATTATCTGATCTGCCTGGCAGCCTTCTGCAAAATTGCTTTCTCACTCACATCTTGTTTTAATTTGACCTCAGAGCACACCCTGCTTAAACATCCCTGTCCCTAGGGTGTTTCTGAAAATCAACGGTGGCAATTGTCTAACATCACAATTCCATGAAGCTGTAATACCGGTTACAGCCCACAGGAAACTGAACAAAAGATGCGAAAGGAAGAACTGGGGAATAAAATGTCCATCTGGGGACTTAGGAAGCTCTGACATATTTCGTAGACGCTAGAAAGCCACACACATATGTAGCTGTGACCATGCCCTAGAAAAGATCCACCAGGGCTCTAAGTTCTTACCTGGCATGATCTTGACTCAATATGAAAGCAGGAAATAAAACTTAAGGTAGAGTTGAAAACTAAGGAAAGGCAGTAGCAGCAAACCTTGGAAGACACTGATTTCCAGATATTGCTTAAAGTGCCCAATTATCAACAAAAAATTACAAGACAAAGAAGCCAGGACATTTGGCCTATAAAAAGGAAAATAATAAAATAGTTGTCCCAGAGAAACTCAGGATATTTGACTTAATTAATAAAATTTTTAAAATTAAATATTATAAATATATTAAAGAACTAAAGAAAATTATGTCTAAAGAATTAAGGAAAAATAAAAAATAATATTTTATCAAATGTAATTATTGAATATGATAGGAAAATATTTTGAGTCAACTAGGAATTTCTGAGTTGATTTTCTACATAAGTAAATGTAAAAAAATAGTTTAAATGCATTTTTGTTGATAGCTCTTCTATTACCATCTGATTTGCAAAGATCATTGAGTAAAACAATATGGATATTCCTCATTTAATGACAGAGTTCTGTTCCATGACTAGTGAATGAATTGGTTGCTAGATAGGGAATTGTATACAGTATGTACAGTACAATATGCAGAACAAAGAAATGCTGAAGGGAAACTCCAACTTGATGACTTTGCTTTCATCTGCGTGCTCTTATACATAGTACTGCAGCATGTAACATGAAACTACAGCACTCTATCTCTGTACTGTATCATACAATCAGCACAAACTATACTGCTGTATAAAGATGTTACACAGTTCCAAAGAAACATATTGAGGTTTTATGAACAAGATGTACAGAATTGAAGAAAAGTAAGTCCTAAGTCTGAATAGTGGGTCATAAGTCTGAACAGTCATTAAACAGGTAGATCATTGGACAAGGAATGTCTGTAATTATAAATCTGTATCAATAGGCTTATAATATTTAAATATATTATTTGATGACAATTGATTTCAAAAAGAGTGAGGAAAGAAGGGATAGGATTATGCACGATAAGTATCTGGAATCTGAAATCTGAAATGGTCTAAAATCTAAAACTTTGAACATTGATATGAAAAGACCTTCAGAAAGATTCAGATGGCAGATTCATATCTTCACTTTTATGAATGCTTAGCTTGTGAAATCTTTGCAAATATTCCAAAATCCAAATATTCATAAAATCTGAAATAATTCTGGTCCCAAGAATTTTGGATAAGTGACATTGACCTGTATTATATTAGAGAAAAAGTTAATAAATTATTTAAATTATTATTAACCCAAATCACCTTACTTTAAATTAAATTAGCTATAATTGTCAGAATAACTACTAAAAAAAACTTGAGGACATATAGTAAAATAAGCAAGTAACATGTTATTCCCAAAAATATTTTAATAGATATCAGGGTAGACAGTAACAAATTATGTAGAAGATACAGAAAAATTGAAATTCTGTGTTGCTGGCAGCTACTTTGTAAAACCTTAGTCCATCCTCAAAAACATAAACAGAATTACCTTACTGTTTAACCAATTCCTCTTAGTTATACACCCAAGAGAGTTAAATACATGCCCATACAGCAATACATACGTGAATGTCTATAGAGGATTTATACATATGAAAGAAAAGATGGAAACAGATCAGATGTTCATTAACTGATAAATTAAAAACTAAATGTAGCATATCGATACAATGGCATAGAATGCATCCTTTAAAAATGAAATGAAATAAACACTGATACGGACAATAGTATAAATGAATCTTGACACTAACAGGCAAATTATAGAGACAGAAATAGGATTGAAGGTTTCTGTTTAGGAGGATGAACATGCTGTTAAGTTAGTTAGTAGATATTTTTCCAGGATTTTTTGAATGTGATAAAAACGAGTGAGATGTACACCTTAAAAGGGAAAGTTTTATCGTGTGCATGTGATACTGCAGTAAGCTTATTGCTGAAAAAAAATGCATGTGCAAATATTCCTTGTTTGAGAAATTACTTATTTATTTATTTATTTATTTATTTATAATTGTATTTGCTTGCTAAGGGTCTCACTATACAGCTAGGGCTCACAGTGATCCTCTTGTTTTCAGTCTCCCCAGCTCTGGGATTACAAGCACCTGCCACTACACCCAGACTCTGTGGCTAGCTCAGCCTGCTCTGGGGCCAGGGCTGGCAAGGCATGTGGTGCCTGGGATCAAACTGCAGTGCCTGTGCTTGCCTAAGCTTGCCTAAGCAGGCACTTTGAGAAACTACCCATTTAATGACTGTTCAAACTTATAACCAGAGTTCTTTGTTTAGACTTATGACCTGTCCCTGTTTTTGTGTAGTGCTTTACATTTTATTTATAGAGCCTCAATTGCTTTTATAATGTGTTTTTCTGCCACAAAAAATAAACTTCAGAAATCATAGCTGTGTCAGTGAGTTTAATACAATAATTACTGATTTCTTTGAGAAAGTTGTTTCACTTCTTTATTGTTCATCTTTTCCAACATAGGGCCATCACTTTGACGTGAAAAAGTAGTGGTTGCTTTCCATTGGAGTTATTTCTAAGATGTCGCCTTTCATTGTACAGGTGCATGTGGCGGGTTCCTGAGGACAGAAGACAGGCCTGTCCCTTTTTTCTCCCCGGGCTGGCCAGGGAGCTACAGTAATATGATGCAGTGCACATGGCTTATTCATGCTCCAGGCTCTACTGTGGAGCTCAACATTCTCTCAATGGACATTGAATCTCAGCAAACATGTAACTATGATAGTCTTGTGATAAGAGATGGTGAGAAACATTTTATTTTATTTTTATGTATTTGGTACAGGATCTACAGGGGCTTACTACACAGATCTGACTCATAGTGATCCTCCTGCTTTTAACCTCCTAAGTGCTGGGATTACAGGCACATGCCACCAAGCCCAGTCTCAATCGCTGTGTCAGTGTGCCTTGGGGGCGGGGCCAGCACGGCATGCTGGGGATCAAACCCCAGTCCCTGCATTTGCCTAAGCAAGTGCTTTAGTCTGCTGAGCTATCTGGTCAGCCCTAGAGAAACATTTTAAAAGATATTAGTTCTTTTTAACTCTGATACATAGTTCATATTTAATTATCATTTGCTTATTACCTCTGTTGATTTTGTATGGAATTTTATAGATATGTGATCACTGAAGCCACTGAGTCCCGAAAACAGGATTTCTGGAGATTATAAGGCAAATATTAAATTGTGTGTCATAAAATGTCAAGAATACTGGAATATCTCTAAGAGAAAACATGCTTTTTGAGAGGCCTAAGAGTCGAGATAATAGTCTAAAATTTCAAATTATCCTACAGTTTTTTAAAATGGATAAATCTTGGGGATAAATGTTAACATTTGATATCTATGAGTTTAAGATCCTAGTGGAATAGCCAAGCAGATAGCTCAGCAGCTTATGTGGCTGCCTGCCAAGTGTAAGTTCCCGAGTTTGATCTTGCTACTGAAAAAAAAAAAAGATTCTAGTGGAAAGATAGTACGAAGGTACAAAGGGGTAATGCTTCCCTACATTTTCTTTTGTGTACAGGTGAGGTGTTGTGACACAGTGATCCAGGGTCCTAGCCAATGCTAACACGCAACATGTACAAAACTGCTTCACAGTTGATGTGGGCTAGAATGGAGGAGAATGAGAGTAGTGCTGTATCTTCAGATCCTTACCAAAAACAGAGCTGTATCTACATTTGGCCTACAGTTTATTAGTACATAAAATATTGTCTCCTTAAACCTCATTATCCCCAGACTAATGAAGATGTTTTATTTTAGATTGTACTGAAGCTGGTTACTAAGTAAATACTCAAACCAATCTTACAGATATGATGAAATGAAAGGCACTTTTCTGTCACCTGTCAGGTGTCAGCACACGAGTGCCCCAGAACTATTTATTATATTTTCTGACATTATTCCTGTGGATATTGAGTTTTGATGTAATGAAGTGAACATGTCCTTGCACATGTTCTGAGTGTTCAAGATTGAGATGAAGCCTTAGAAACAATCTTTAATGGGTAATTAATTCAGTGAAGCAAAATCTGTAATCAAACACTCAGGTGAATGTCTGGATTTTTTTTAAACTTAGTACAGTAAAAGACATTGTTATTAATATTCTCACTTACTTTGAACATGCTTATTCCCATATTTCTTGCTGCTTTCTGTAGCAGTTCTGGAAGTCCTCTTTCATGAGTGTCTTTAGTTGTTCTACTTGGCTGATGTGATATCTGAATTGCTTCAAAATGTTTACCTGCATAGTCGTTTTGACACAGAAGAACCAGAAATTGCACAGGCAGTGTCAGGTTAAGCGAGGGAGGTGAATGCAGATCAATTTTAATATTTTACAAGCTTCCCTTTCCATTGGATTTTTTAATTACACTTTGGTGTAAAGACAGCCACAAAAGAACATTTATAGAACTGCTTGAAAAAGCATTAAGAATCAAATGATAATTGTGTTTCAAGTGAGGTCAAGTATTTTCAGGGGAGATTAATGCCGGTTGTCCTTTTCCTTAATGCATTTTTAAGTATAAATGATCACCATATATTTTGATCACTCTTTATAAATTATGGATGTTCTTTAAAAACTGCATTGTGTTGAGGTACTTTTTGTTCCATCAGCTGCTTCTCTTGGAAGCATAGACTCTAGAGAGTAGTCTCTGTTTTCTCTGTGACCTTGCAGAAGTCATTAAATGGCCCCAAGCCTGTTTTGTTGTCTATGAAAAACAGAGGAATGAGCACCATATGGACTCTGTGGGTATCAGGGACAGCAGTCAGTGCCAAATCATGTAGCAGAAGTCTAAGGATTTTGTAGATGCAGAATTCAGAAT